TGCTTCGTTGACTTTTGCAACTACGTATTCCTAAATTTGTTGAAATACTTTATTACCCGTTTATACTATGTTACATTGATAGTTATTATAGGGGTTTCTATATCTAAAGTATTTGGATTCTTATTCCCATATTAAATAATTGTTAACATATAGAATACCATCATTTGTTATGCCTATTTCTAATTAACAATCAAGAGCAATGGTTATATCTCAAGCAGCACAATTAAACTATTTAGTACTTATTCCTTATATCGCCTATGAACTTACATATTAACAAACAGTAATGGGAGCAGAGTTCTGGTGGCTCATGCCTGTAATCCTTGATACTCAGGAGGCTGAGATCGAGGATGGTAGTTCAAAGCCAGCCCAGGCAGAGAAGTCTGAGACTTTTACTTGTTTAACCAACAGAAAGCTGGAAGTGCAGACATAGTTCGAGTGTTAGAGATGCAAGGCCCTGGGTTCAAGCCCTTCCACTGGTACAAAATCAAAAGCAAACAACAAGACAAGCAGTGAGGTCAAATGGTTTGGTGTTTAAAAAAAAAGGAAGGAAAGAAATTCCTGAGCACTTTCCTGGTGGTGAAATACTTAGTAATGTGCTGCTCTATTTCGCTCACTCCTAGTAAGTTCTGTAGTAATAAACAGAAGCTCTTCAGAATGTACACTTCACGGAAGCAGAGGTACCCAGCATCTGGCTAGTGACATGAGATTTGAGAATGCCAACTAACCTCAGGTGCATGACCAGGCTACACTGCCAACCCACCTGAGCCCTATTCACAGACTCACTCTTCCTAGGGACTTCTTGAATGAGTTGTTTTATTTGTTAGTTTGTTTTTGTTTTTGTTTTCAACCCCGCTTGTAATTTTCCTTGCCTGTGGCTTGCTTTTTGACTCACCAAGTGGGAGAAATAGGAGAGTACTGGCGATCAGCTGGTTGGCGCCCCCTTGTGGCTGAACAACTGCTAAGCTGCTGCACGCACTGGCTTATAGGCTGAGTGACCCATGGTTGCCTGAGGCGAGAATTTGTAGAATGCTTCTCGTGTGATGAGCTAAAACCCTAATTAAGTATAACAATAACTACAGCAATCTAAATCCTGGAGGATTAGGGTTGGGCTTACGATCGTACAGAGTTCCCTAGCAGGAAGCAAACTGGTAATGATGTGCACACTGAGCCATCTGAGTGATAGGTCCATCTGGTTCTGGTTCTGGATTCCCAGGCAGAGCCCAGTCCTCAGCTGGGAATGTGGGACTGCAGATTGAGATGCTCCAGGCCTGACCACAGTGAACTCTGGGCGACTGTCTTCAAAAGACAGACCTATGTGTTGGTCTCCTGGGGATTGTCATTTGTGTGCTTCCTGAAAGAAAAAAAAAAAGTAGTGCTGCATCAATCTTCTTCCAAAAGTCATGCTTCTAAATGTCACCAAAGATGCAAGAACAAGCGTGGAAATTTGAGTGTCCCAGTGAAGAGTCTATATTTTTCATCACTGTGTGTTTTCAATAGTGTCCACTTAAGCAGTTTACTAACCATCTAATCAAGGTGCTCTGTTGATTTCCAAAGGGGAAATGAAGTAGAACCACTAATAAGAATAAGCTTTTCCTGAGAGGACACAAGAACAGACCCTTACTTTGAGGAAACATTTGCCTTAGTTAAAAAAATGCTGGGTTAAGAGACTTGTCTCAACTTTAACATTGTGTTAAAAGAAAAGTAAATGAAAACATTACATTTTCTCTAATGTAATGCATAATTTTGAGTATATTTTAAAATAGCTTTGAATATTTTTAAAATCAGGTTTGGGTGGCACATTCCTGTAATCCCAGCTACTCAGGAGTCCGAGATCTGAGCACTGCAGTTCAAAGGCAGCCCAGGCAGGAAAGTCTGTGAGACACATCTCCTCCAATTAACTACCAAAATATCCAGAAGTTGCACTGTGTTTCAAGTAATAGAGCACTTTGAGCTTTGAGCAAAATAAACTTCAAGACACTTCCCAGGCCCTCTAGTTCAAGCCCCAGGACTGGCACAAATCATTTATTTTAATATATTAACAATACTTGTGTAATTTAAGACAAAAAGGGAATGGAGCCCAATGATGGTGGCTCACACTTAAAGATCTGGAAGTCAGAGGTTTGAAGCCAGTGTGGGCTTGCAAAAAAAGTCTGAAAGATTCCAAAGACTTCATTTCCAATTAGCTAGTGAAAAATCAAACTAGAGGCATGACTCAAGTGATAGAACACCACTCCTGTAAAAGGAAGTCAAACCAGTTCTAGGCCCTGAGTTCAAGCTCTAGTCCTTGGAGAAAAAAATGATACCAAGAATTCATTTCTACCAAATTTAGGTACTCTAAACAGTACTGAGATTTAGATAATTTTATTCCCATCTTCCAGATATTCATAGAGGTAATGTCAAAATGTTTCAATGGACACTTTGGAAATAGTTTTGATAAGGGATTCGTAAATATTTTATCATAACTATGGTGAATTTGATATTGATAATTCCTTTTTATGCTTTCTAACTTTTTAGTGCTTATGCTTTTTCTTTTTTAGTAAAATTTTTCTCTTGATATTGTGGTTTGAACTCAGAGCCTAGACAGGTTCTCTACCCTTTTAGCCATACCCCCAGCCCTTGTTGCTCTAGTTATTTTTTGGATAGATTCTCATGTTTTTGTCTGGGGCCAATCTGCAATTCTCACATAGTTGACTCCTTAGGGAGCTGGGGTGACAAACACACATCATCAGTTATTGATTGACATGGAATTGCGCTAAGTTTGTTTTGGCTGGTCTGAAACTGTGATTCTCCCAATCTTTGCCTTTTGAGTGTCTGGGATTACAGACCCGAAATGAAAGTTATAGAAAGAATAAAGCAAAATTCACGTAAAATTGTTTCATGATTTTCTCAGTTGCCTGTAAATTTAGTTGGCATAGGAAAGAGACATAACTTGAAAATTTGAGAAATAATTTGATAAAAAACTTTCTATCATAATTATCCATCTGCTAATTCAAGAAAAGGTATAATAGATAAGATTGGGACTAGTGAGGAGCTTATAATAGAGCTACGTCTGCTTGAAAAAGTGCAAAAATATGCATATGTGTTCTGAACCAGATTATCATAAATTTAAATTATGATAAAGACACACTGAAATCAGAAAGAGATGGGAAATTTTCCCAATTGGGGGGAGGGGTGAAAAAAGGTTAAGAAGAGTTGACATTTGAGTTCCTATCTATTTTTATGGATTTATTTAAATAATTGAAAGTTTATGGATGACATAGAGAACATAGCCTGCCAATAAGAAGATGAAGTTTTCCATTGTTTCTATTGTTTTTGTCATCAGTTATGTGGAATATAGATAAGCCTTTCTCCTGGTGGGACTGTTTTAAAGACGCTGGTCACAACACCGCACCGCTCATTCTCTGCATGTGCCTTTCAGCTAGTTGTGCTGGACTGAGCTGTGTCTGCAGTCAGACATGGGGTGGGAGAATAATGTTGGTTGCATGGTCAACTTTACTGCTGTCAGAACTCTCACCGTTGTTCAGGGTTTGATTTGTGTCCATGTAAGCATCCATCAAACATGGAACCTTTCAAGAGTATCATTTGTTAAAGCAAATAGGCATGGGAAAATAAATGTGACTGTTTCTTGTTAGCTACAAAACACATATCCACTAAACACATTTGCTGTTGGCATGCTGCAGTTGGGAACAGTGGACACTGTGGTAAGTGGAAGAGACAAGGTCTCCATGGGTCTCTATAATCCTTATCTCTGACATGGCTGCCTTCTCCCCACAGAGGCTGCAGCATGACTCCGAAGAGCTGCCAAGCCACTGCCCGCTGCTGAGTCCTGGGACTCAAGTGCTTTCTAAATGAAACAGGAAAACAAACAACATGCCAATACAAACTTTTCTCCAGTTGGGTGCTCAATGCCTGCAATCCTAGCTATTGGGAGAGAGGGGGCTGAGATCTGAAGATCAAGGTTCAAAGCCAGTCCAGACAGGAAAAGTCCATGCAACTTTCATCCAGTTGACCATCCAAAAGCCAGAAGTAGGGCTGTGGCTCATGTGGAAGAGCACTACCTCTGAGCAAAAAAAAAAAAAAGAAAAAGAAAAAAGCTAAGGGACAGGCCCTGAGTTCAAGTTTCCTATTTGAGTCCCACAAGAATCCCTTAGCTATATTGCTGCTTTGATGGAATGTTAGAGAACCCCAAGTTCTGTGATTCCATCCTGCCCCTCCCACACCCCAAATCATGTGCCTTGATTAGGAAATTGTGAGATACATTTGGGATTTGTTGTCACTTATTATTAATCCTTCCTCCATCAGCCCTATCCAGGATAGCATCAGAGAACTGAAGGTTTAAATAAATACAATGTACTGGTAGCTGCCACAGCAAATCAATATCCTGCTTAATAGCAGGAAATCGTGTTAGTGAACATTACCTCGCATTCCACTCCTCAGTCATCACATTCATTACATGTTGTATGTGTCTAATAAGATGGAAGCAATGCTCCCACTGGTTATGCAATTGCATGCGTTTATGGATATCATAATCTTGCCTGGAGTACAAAATGCATGTTGAATTTAACTACATGTCTAACTCTCGTCCCTGGTTTTTCTATAGAGACATTTAGAAATTACAAAGAGATATGCTCCCAAACAAAAAAGAATTACTTTTAAAAATATCTTGGTTGAAAGTAAAGCTCAAATCACCCAATACTTTTTATTTTTTAAGTGCATTCCGAATCAATCCTTGGTTATCTGCAGGATAATTGGATATGAATTGCTTGTGTTTGGTCTCAGTTCGGCCTGTGATAAACTCAAGAAATGCGTGTACATCTCTAGGATGAGACTGATTGAATATGAATGCTATGACAGAGAGATGGAATAAAGATCAACTTTTCACTGAGGGGGGGAAAAGCCCACGTCTAATACAATGCATACCCATCTGCAGAACCATCGACTTGTTTTACCCGACAGAATGGAAAGGTTGCACAAGCTAACCGAGTATCTGTTCTCTACAGTCAGAAGCTAAGCTTCAAGGAGCGGGTGCGCATGGCCAGCCCCCGGGGACAGAGCATCAAGAGCAGGCAGGCCTCGGTGGGCGACCGCAGGTCCCCGAGCACCGACATCACGGCCGAGGGCAGTCCCACCAAAGTGCAGAAGAGCTGGAGCTTCAACGACCGGACCCGCTTCCGGCCCTCGCTGCGCCTCAAGAGCTCGCAGCCCAAGCCGGTGATGGACGGTAAGGCCGCTTCCCAGTTTCATTGGTAAGGGAGACCAGGGGGAGTGATCAGATCCGCCGTGGTAGGGGGAAACAGTGCCGGGAAAAGACGTGGTGTGTCCCGCTGGAAGTCTGTCCATTGGTTTCGGCCAGTGCACCCCATTTGGGGGAGGGAAGCGACATTGGCAGCAGAATCTGCATTTTTCAGAAGCCAGGGCCCCGGCTCGTGGCCTGGCAGGGAGAGTGTCCTGGTGTCCATCTGCCACAGGACACACACAAAGAAATTAAAATAACAAAGTGTTACATGATTTTGATTACATCTAGCTGTAGTATATTTGCTTCAAGATCAGGGTGAGCTGAGCTGGGCACTGGTGACTCACATCTGTCACCCTAGCTTCTCCAGGACGCTAAGATCTGAAGATTGCAGTTCAAAGCCAGCCAGGGAAGTCTGTGAGACTCTTATCTCCAATCAACCACCCAAAAGCTGGGAGTGGAGCTGTGGCTCAAAGGGTAGGGCACTCACCTTGAGTGAAAAAGCTCAGGGACAGCACTCAGGTCCTTAGTTCAACCCCAGGACTGACACATAAACACAAAGAAGAGGTCAGTATGACTTTCTGCTGTGTAGGTTTTGTCTGACCAGCAAAGGTCCAAGGCCTAGGAACAGCTAGGGACTCTGAACACTGGAACTCAGTAAGAAGTGACAGCACCTTTCTAAGGAAGCGCAAAGCTACCCTAGTGATTCTCACATGCGCCTTCTACCACCAAGTCAGAAATCACAGCTGGTCATCCTTAGAGGGACTCCAATGATAATTGGAACTCTGGCTCTTCTCTCTAAAACATTTAGTCTAAGAACCGAGCGTATTATGTAGCAACTTAGTTGCCAAAGCAATCTATCTAATGTCATATAATTTTCATGTTTATAATGTTTATGTTTGTTTTTTTATTCAAAGATGAGCTAAAATTTGTTAAATCAAACCCTTGTGTACAACTACTTAAAGAAGGAAAGAAGGAGGGAGGGAGGGAAGGAAGGAAGGAAAGAAGGAAGGAAGGAAGGAAGGAAAAGAATTAGCTAGAACCTAGTGCTGTTTGCTCACGCCTGTAATTCTAGCTAATCAGCAAAGGAAAAGTAAAACACACTACTGAAATATATACTCATTTAGAAATTCATCTAATTCTATCCAAGAAGAATGGACAGTTTCTTGAAATGGAAAAATCTGCCTCTGTTCTCCAGTCAGAAGCTAAGTTTTAAGGAGCCCATGTGGATGCCTAGCTCCAGGGGTCAGATTTGAGGATCTAGGTTTGAAGCCAGCCTGTGCAGAAAAGTCCACAAGATTCTTGTTTCCAATTAATCAGCATGAGGCTGTGAGTTCAAGCCACAGTACAATCACACACTCACACATGCACACACACACACACACACACACACACACACACACACACACACACACAGGAGAGCAGGGTTTGTAATTGTGTCTCTTATACAAGGCCAAGAACCAAGACCAAATAGCAACTTCCCTTAATGCACAATAACTTCAAAGTCTACCAAGCCTCGGTTCTCATCCCCTAGGATAACCTGTATTTTCCCAGGCCCTGAAAGCTCCAGAGATCCAATTAACAAGCAAGGGTCATAAAATCAGTGATCTCAAGCTCCCTGGGGTGAAATCTCCGGAACCTCAACCCATGGCTGCTCCAGCTTTTTCTCAGAAATCCTCGGGGAAACAGCCTCCACTCTTCCACTCTTGCATGAGTGGCACAAACCCTTTCTTCACACCTCTCCATCCTCCTCCAGCCCACAGGGCAGGCTCTCTCTTAGGCTCTGGGTTGCTGACTGGATGTGGCCCCTATCTCCTGTTGTTCTGCTAAGGTGGGAAATTCCTTCTGCATTACCACGGAACACTTCGGAGTCACGCCACTGGTGACACAGAGCTTCGGTGTCCTCTAGGCCACACATGGTCCTCCCTAGGTTTTTGGTTGAAATCCCCTGAGCAGCTGAGTAACTGGAAACTGAGCATATGAAATAAATGTGTCCATCCTTTCTGAAGGTGATGTGACAAAAGCTTCCTCAAAGCTTTATATAAGACCTAGACTCATCCCACCTAACTGGTTCTATTTCTACAATATAACTTGATGTCATGAAAAGATATCAGACATTGAAAAAATGATATTGATGAGAAAAGATCACCACAAGCCAGCATGGTGACTCACTCCTATAATCCCACCATGTGGGAGGCTGAGGCAAGAGGATTATGAGTTCAGGGCCACCCTGGGCTATATATCAAACCTGTCTCAAAAAGATGATCACAAAAAATCATTTCCTTATATATAATACATAATAATTCATAAAATACATATAAATATATGTGTAACTTATATACGTATGCATATATACCTGTATGTTATGCATGAGGTACATAGATTAGTATATAAAAAAGAATAGTCACCCTCAAGTGGTGCCATCATAATTATGTTCATCATTTTCTTGTATTTCTACAATTAATACTTCTACATTTAACATGGTAAACTTTTATAATAAGAAAGGTAGGGGGAATTTTCTATTGTTGTTAAAAACAGAAGCCCACTCAGTATTGGTAGTGACTCAGGAAGCTGAGATGTAAGGATCTCAGTTCAAAGCTAGCCAGGGCTGAAAAGTCTGTGAGATTCTTACCTCCAATGAATCAACTAAAATCTAGATGCGAAGTTGTGGTTCAAGTGATTGAGTACCGGATTTGAGTGAAAAAGCCCAACAAGAGCACAGGCCCCAAATTCAAGCTCAGTTCTAGCACAAAAAGGGGAGGGTGGGAAACATGAGCCCATCTTTTCATACATTGCCATCTTCTTTCCTGTACTCTAGGGAACTTTGCACAATTAACCTGACACTCCCCAAATGTCCTTTTCTAGGCTGATTTCCTCCCGAGTAGCAGAAATAGCATCTGCTCTCATACTGGGATCAGCCTTTGTGGAGTACAGACTTAGACACTCTAATTGGTTTAACAGCTCACAGTGCTTGAATGAGATTCTTGGACTACTATCACAAAATACCACAGACTGATAGTATAAAGACCAGAAATTCGTTTTCACAGATGTACATCGAATATTATGACTGTGTTCTCCCACTCTTCCTCTCAAAATTCATAGATTCTAGATTCCCAGCAAGGCAGATGAATTCTAGTTATGTTATTTGGCTAGAGGGAAAGAGATGTTCAAAGGCTTCCTAGAATAGGTATTATTCCTCATAGTATTTTCTATGGGTGCAAAGATGTTCCATAAGTCAGACATAAAAAAGACAATCCAATCTTGACCAGATCACAAATTGGAAAGGCCCTCTCCCAAACACTTTCTTGATCATTTTGGACAAAGGGCCATTCTGTTTGATTAGAATGGAATTACTTTTCCCTGGCTGATGCCTGTATCAATTGATTCTGAGCTCCCCAGGTAATGGAGTCTTGTGCTATTGTAATAGCTTTGTGGGCTACTCATGGGCAGGCAAGTATGACCCTCCCTCCTCACTTAACACAACAGCCCAGAGTCTTTACTTCTGGGTTAACTTGAGGTTGGTCTGAGAGAATTGGAAGGTTTTTTTCCCCTTGCTTTAAAGAAAAAATATTGAAGTAGCTATCTAGTAAATGCAGACTTCAATTATACTTTTTATTTGTAGTGCCTCTCTAGGTTTTAAGTGTGTCTACAATCCACTTACGAATCATAGAAAATAATACATAACACACAATCAGTTCCCTGTCTTCCAGATCTATTTGTCCTCTTCTGAAGTGCTTTTATTTTATTATTTTTTCTTTCTTTAAGTATCTTAGGCCTTTTCTTGCCAGTTAGCACTCTCAAGGAGAGTTGGGGAATAAAAGAAAGAATAATAGGAATTCAGATCAGGCTGTAAATGAGTAACAAGGAGTTACAATGGGGAAGTAATGTCCCTAGCTGGAAAATATTACAGAGGAAAAGCAAAAATAATTTAGGGTTGATCTGTACATTTTAGCAATTCCCATGAAGTCCACTACTACAGATGGTACTATTTTTATGATCCAATGACTCATACCAAAGATTACTAAATAAGTATTTTGTTTTCCTTGTTATAATTTTAATGAGATTAACATTGCATACACAAAAGGAGCACAATTGTTCCCAAACATCTCACACTCCTGTGACTCAGAGAAATGAAAAGTACAGACAGATGTACCATTGGTACAAACACACTTACGGCAAAGGCAAGAGAGTCAGCTATAAGCACAGGTTTATATTATGACATAAATGGTATTTATAAATTCTCTAATGACATAGAAATGTTTCATTAGTCAAGTGTATATAAGTGTCTATACATAATTAGAAAGTAGAGCTTCTTCGTATAAGTTAGAAATGTGTGTGTGTGTGTGTGCGTGTGTGTGTACCTGTACTGGGGCTTGAACTCAGGACCTTGCCCTCTTGCTTAGCTTTGATGCACAAGAGTGGCACTCTACCACTTGAGTCATAGCTCTACTTCCAGCTTTTTGATATTTAATTGGAAATTAAAGTCTCATAGGAAAATTGGAGCAGAGTTAGTGGAAGAACTCAACTGAGATGCAACTTAGTAGTTTTGGGAATCTCAATGGCAATATTACCCAGAAACAAAAATGCTGAATAATTCTATGTACAGTTAATAAAAAATAAATAAAAAACCATGACCAGAAAAAATAATCTCATAGAATTTTCTTGCCCTGGCTTAACTTCAAACCACAATCCTCAGAACTCAGCCTTCTGAGTAGCTAGGATTACAGATGTGAGCCGCCAGCACCTGATGCAACTCACTTCCCTTGAATTCTCCAAGGCAGCAATTGTTCTAAATGCTTTACCTCTTTTGTATCATATCCCCTATATTCCTGTGGAACAGTTATTACTCCCAGTATTTTTTCTTCCTCATTTCACAGATAAGGAAACTGAGACCTAAACCTCTGTCCATTGACCAAGGTGTAACAGATACAAAGGAGCTGCAGTGTCAACCCAGGCACTCTATTCCCATAGCCCGCTAGAGACACGTT